GGGCAGGAGGGGCGCGCGGGCCGAGGCCGGGCTGGGGCCGCGGCTCCACAGTGCTGTGAGCGGCCGGGAGGATTTACCGCCGCCGCCACCGCTGCTGCACCTCCAGCCCGCCCGGGACGCTGCCGCCTCCTTCCCACAATGCACCCTGGCGCTCGAGGGTGCCCTCTCTTCTCTCAGCCCTCCTCCCCCGCCCTCCTCGCCGGCGACCTTTCCCGCGGGCGGGCATGCGCAGGCGAGCGCGGCTGGCCGGGTGTGGTGGGGAGGTGGCCGAGCCCGCCGCCGCTGCCCCCGTGCGCAGGCGCACAACCCAACCCGAGCGAGGGAGGAATTGCGCATGCGGCCTAGCCTCCCGGAACTCGAGGACGGGACCCGGGGTTTCTTCAGTAGGTTTGTGGTGTGCGGGTGTCTACAGGTCTGGAGCGAGTTCGAACGTGACGCCACGACCGTGTCATCCCTGCTTGATTTAGTTGCCACTGTTTATGTGTCCATTGCATGAGTCGCCGTAGACTCTTAGGGCCACAGAATCGGGACGACCTTGGTGACTGCTTTGCAAACTCCACGCACGGGTTGGACGCAAACATGGATTGTAGAGGATTTAATTTTTTCCCCAGCTTTGCCTCCCAGTTCCTCTATGACCCGGTTAGTTCGAGATTGCCAGCCCCATACCTCGACTAGACGCTAAGGGCGAAAACTCAGAAAAGCACTGGCTTCCCTGGTGACTTCCTGAAGGGCAGGAACAGCGAAATGATTAGGCCAGCAGCACCCTAGAGATTGATTCCTCGGGCTTCTCACAGTCGTGGCCTGATAATGTCCCTGTATGGCTTAGTGCCAAAATGAGGGATCGCTATTTAGAACAAAAGATTAGTATCAAGTTTTGAGTGAAATTGAACAAGTCTGCAAGTAAGACCCACCATCTTTTGAAAGCTTATGGTGATGAAGTGGTGACCAGGGCTCGAGTTTTTGACGGGCACAAAAGGTTTAAAGTAGGGCAGGGAGATGTCCGAGATGATGCACGAAGTGGTCGTCCAGTCACCCACAGGACGGATGAAAATATCCAGAAGTTCAAGGACTTGGTTTATTCAAACAGGCAGTTAACGGCGAGAACGATGGCTGAAGAATTAAATTTAGATAAAGAAACCGCTAGACTCATTCTGAAAGAAAACCTGACCATGAGAAAAAGTCTGCCAAGATTATAACGAGTATTTTGAAGAATGAGCCTAAACTTAAAGGAATTTGTATTCCCATATGACCATTCAGAGGAAATTATGAAACCTAGCTTATATGTGAGGGAAAAGACAACAAATTCTGAAACGTGCAGTCATTTGCAGCAGAAAGCTGGTGGGGAAATTGTTCTGCCTCTGTCTAATCCCAGAATCCACCCCCTTGGCAGCCAGCTTCTCCAGGGGCCAATCTCAGCAAGCATTCCCACTAGGGTTGCTGGGAATTGGTTCACATCCTGGTGAAATGAACCTGAGGTAGCTAGAACCTGTCCTCATCGGTTTTTCATCTGGTTTCTGTCTTAGCTCTTCCTCCACACTTGGCAGGGTCCACCGGCAATATAGAACTATGGGGTTCTCTTCCTTGCTGTTCCCCACCATCTTAGAGGGCTTGTGACGGTTGACTTCCAGTTCTAGCTTGCTCTTCATTTCTTTAGCTTAACCTCGGGCTTAGGGCTGTCCTGCGCATCATGCTGTCCAGGGGATCATGCCAGTGAGAAGCAGGGGTAGGAGTCTATTTCTGTGCCCAGGGAGACATACTCTTCTGAGGGGACCCCCAGAGTCCTGCAGTTTCAGCCTGCTTCACAGTCAGGGCCCGAGAGGTATAATACAGAAGGCAGTGGCATGCTGATTTATTGAGTGGTGTGATCTAGTCCAAATGACTCAGGGTTGGCCTCCAACACTTACCTCACAGAGCTCCTCTCCCCTGACAGGAGAGCTAGGATTGTTTCATTCTCTGTGCTTTGGACCACCATTCTTTTGGGTGTTCCTTCTGCTAGAAGAGAAGGGTTTGAACCCCATGAACTTCATCTCATAGGGAGACTTAATGATCTAGATGTGCGACGTCGTGGAACTACTAACCACGTGGAAGTCTGTAAGCTGCTACTTGTTTTAAGAGTTTTTAATTTACAGACTTCCACGTGGTTAGTAGTAGTGAGATGAAGTTCTGGTTCCTCTGTGCTTGCCACCAAGGACAATGCATCTTAGAATGAAGTTCTTACTTTTGCAATATTTTTGATAAATTTATTCATCTTTGCTCTGGTCTTCCCTGTAATCATTGCAGAGTAGTGTGTCTGTGGGCACAGACCAGGATTCCAAAACCACCACTTTTGAGCCTTATCTCCACCTTATTTTATTTTACTTTATTTGGTTTTTTGAGACGGGCTCTCTGTGTAGCCCTGGAACTCACAGAGATCCACCTACCTTAGCCTCCCAAGTGCTAGGATTAAAGGTGTGTGCCACCACTCCTTGCTCTCACACAGGATCTAAACACAGATCCTGAGAGAAGTTATTTCTGGGTTTATTTCATCCTGTAAATAGGGTTAGAATGAACCTTGCAGTGATCCTGGACTGAGACCCATATTGAAATACAAGGTGCCAGAAGTAAAATGGTTCCAGTTAGGGTTTAGACACAGAATACTCAGGAGCAGGTAATTAGGAATGTGAACTCAGATTGTTCCAAGTGGTTTCCAAAAAAGGGGACTTAATTTATTACCTGAAGTCAAGTCCCATATAGTAGTCAGATTGAACTACCATTTCAGCCCATTTTTCCTTTGCCCATTTCCCAGAAATACTCGGCAGTGGCAGGATGTCTCAGATTTGGGGGAAGTAAAATTACTGCCATAACTTTAGTCCAGAGCACTTTCTTATGGCTGTGCAGCATCACTGAACCCGACGGTAGAGCGCGGGCTCCTAGGTGACAGGAGAGTTCCTTCCTAGCCGTGCTCTTTAAGTGCCTACCATTGCTGACCCAAGTTTTGTCCTGGCCTGCACTGTACTGCCCAGGCAGCTTGGGGTCCTGGTCCTGTAGACTCAGATCCAGCCATGACCCCACACCTCAGTGTTTCCTCCTTGTCCCTTTATTCTCACTTTATTCTCTTCTAGTTTGCTATCGATTCTCTGATTCCCTGTTGTTTGTTTCCTGATTCTGGGCCACACCTCTAGGTGTGGCTGCTTTGGGCCTTTGGTGTGAAGATCCTTGAATTTTTGGTATGCTTTTCCACTCACATTACTCTCCTTTCTGATCTCTGGACCCTTCTTCCTCCTCCTGACTTCAGCCGTGGTCCAAGTGGAGCAGGCAGTTTCTGCTTCAGCCTTGGCTCCGAATTGTCTTCCTCCACTCCAGGAGTGGGATGGGGGGGACGATATAGGGGTTAGTGGCCAAGCCCTCCCACCCTTGCAATCACAATACAACTGGTGTTACCAGTTTCTTAAGGATTGGTTACTTCGGGTCCCTAGAGTCCTGAAGCCTTTTCAGAGTGGTAATTAGTCCCATTCTCCCAGCAACGGTATTTTTCCCTGGCAGGAGGTCAAGCCTGGCTTTGTGACTGTCAAGAGCGCTGCAAGGTCTGCATACCTTGACTTGTTCTCAGGCTCACTAGTGTGAGTCTCCAGGTGATTTTACTCCCTGCTCTTACCTTCACTCCTGTTCTGAGTCAGTCCATTCTGTGCTACTGCATTCTGTGTTACTGCCTACAGTTCAAGAGGAACAGGTACCTTCTAGGGAGGCACCATCCCACCACTGATTTTTGTCTACTTTTCTAAATCTCTCATCACTCCATCTTGCTTCCTGTCCCACCCAAAGTAATGAAATAAGTCATCATATATATACATTTTAAATTTTGGTTTGTTTCTGTGTGTAAGAGCCCTGTAAGAGCCCTGACTGTCCTGGAACTTTCTTTGTAGACCAGGCTGGCCCCGAACTACTAGAGATCCATCTGCCTCTGCTTCCCAACCCCTGGGATTAAAGGCATGTACCACCACTGGCCAGTTTATTTTTTTTTAGTAACATTTTAAAACAATTTTTTACAACATTTTTGATCAAATGTTTACCAAATCTTTGACTTGAAAAAGAACCATGAGGATGGTGTAGCCAGAGGCTTTTCTACATCCCACCTGGTCCACAGTCACTTATAAAATAATCACCTCAGAGGCTTATATTAATTATAAACACTTGACCTATTGTTCAGGTTTATTACTAACTAGCTCTTACAACTTAAATTAACCCATCTCTATTAATCAGTATTTTGCCACATGGCTGTGGTGTTACTGGTCTGCTGGCATCTTGCTCCTTGGGTGGCTGGATGGTGTCTGTGCCTAACTCCGCCCTTCTTCTCCCTGCATCTCTGCTTGAATTTCCTGCCTGGCTATATTCTGCCCTGCCATAGACCAAAGCAGCTTTATTCATCAATCAATAAAAGCAACTCGTATTCACAGCGTACAGAAGGACATCCCGCACCATTTCCCCTTTTCTGTCTAGTTAAAAAGGAAGATTTTTAACTTTAAGATTGTAAAATTACATTTAACAAAACAGGTATCAAACAAGAATTGCAGTTATGGTATTTAGTCATTTGTATTTGGCAAAAATTAAAGAAAATACTCTATTTTGTGAATCTAAAGTTTTATATCTAATTTATCTTTTATCATAACTAATCTGGTCTTCAACTTCATCAAAGACCCCAGAAGGATATAATATTACATGAGTAAACAGGAAGTACTTTGTAAGCAACTTCCAAAATTCTAGAAATGACAGAGACATCAGGCTGCTGGACAGTCATCCAAAGTTCTTCTGTAATATTGGGGCATCTATCTTCAGCCTATAGAACTGGAATGTCTAGCAGATTTTTCAGTGCAGCAGGAAATTTGAAGGACTGTCCCACCTATTTTGGCAAAATTCATCAGTCACTTTCT